AATCCAGGAACTCTGATTTTTAATAGTGAAGAAATGAATGTCTCCCCTCGAGAAGAGAGAATTTGCCCCCTTTCTACCTTTTTTTTCCCATCTGACCTTAACATTTAAATGATACCCACCCACATTGGTGAGGAAAGACTGCATTACTCTACTGACTCAAATTCTCATGTCTTCCAGAAATATCCTCATGGACACACCAGAAATAATATTTTAAATAATATCCAGATATCTTAACCCAGTAAGTTGAACCCATAGAATTAGTCATTGAAAGATAACTATCTTTTGACTTTGAATAAAATCCAACGCTCTCTGGATTGCTGTTAATGTACCATGTTTAGACACTGCATCAGTTCTGAAACCTGAGTCATATCACTCTTAGAACTATGAGTTCCAGGGATAGCCCAGCCAGCTTTATTAGACACTCCAGTTTACTGTAGGTTAGGTCCTGGTGATGCACATTCAAAATATATTTCAGAAAGTAAGACGTTCAAAGTTTTAGTAACAAACATGCAGTTCAGTTCTGTTACTTGTCTCAAATCAAACATCATGATTTTCCCAAAATTGTACAGCAGCTGAAAGTCAGCAGGTTAATGCAAATGTAAAGCAATCCTAATAATACCTTATGTCTGATCTCATCTTGCTGGGTTTCTTAAGAAAGCCACTTAAGTCTCTCTAGTGCTTCTGCAATATGATAGTGAAACAGCTGCTCTTAGCAGGTGGGATTCAACCTAACTAAACTCTAAAGACTCTAAAAGTAAAAGGAAAGAACAAATGGTCAAAGTTTCCCTTAAGAATCAGAATCTAAAGTATTTTTATTCATGGTATTTGTTTCCTGAATATTATAGGCTGCCTTAAACAAAAGAAGAATTTATGCCTGTGTGCTATGGGGTGTTCTCAAAAAGCAATGAACTTGCTGTCAAAAAAAAAAAAAAAAAAACCCTTTATTTTAGATCTGTTTTATCCGTTTCCTGCTATCGTGGCCAAGAGTAAGTCATTTAACCTTGAAATTTTCCTCATATTAAAAATGGTAAGAGTCTCATGTTGTTGTGAGAATTCAGTATGAAAACAAATATGAAAGCATTTTGAAATCTGAGAAAGTACCACGAGATAAAAGGAAATAAATATGCAAAAACCTTTTTGGTATAAGTCAGGAATCCAGCTCCTGACCAAAAATCCCATGTGTGATCTTTCAGGCCCAATCACAGGCAGTGAGAAAGTCAAAGTTCATGGGGCAAAGCTGCCACTTCCACATCAGAAACAGGGAAAAGCCCATACATTGCAGTCTCCAAAGGAATTGTAGCTCAGGACTCTCGGAGGCTCTTATAAATGCCTGTTTCCCTCTGAAGAGTTCAGGTACCTCCATGTGGAGGACTCATGGTGCACAACTCAATGACCCTTTTCTCCCCCCAATTTGGTACTTTCCTACACTTACCCCCTCCCTGAGTACCCCATTGCTTATCCTTGACCCCAGGAAGAGAAGAGTGGATCCTTCTCTTTAGCCCAGACTCCCCAGATGAGCTCCCCCAGTGAATCAGACTAGAAATCCAGTAAGGTTTCTGGATCTTATGAAGAAAGTGGTCTAACAAAAACTGCTGATTTAATGGAAATTCATATTCTCTTGAACTCTCTGAAAAATTTATAAGTTCTTTTTTCAAAGATTTTCTATTTTCAGTTCATGTGGGTGTGGAATGGTTGGGCCACCTAGTAATCCTAATACTTAACTTCTTGAAGAACTGTCAAGCTGTTTTCCATAATAGCTGTACCATTTTACATTCCCACCAATAATATACAAGTTTTTATTTTCTCTACATCTTTATAAACATTTTTTTTCCTTTTTTAAAAAAAATAATTATCACCATCCTAGATGGTATGCAGAAGTATTTTATTATTTCTTCCTAGTCTTTTTTTTTTCTGGGGGGATGGGGGCAACAAGGATTGAATTCAGGGACACTCAACCATTGAGCCACATCCCCAGCCCTATTTTTTTTTTTTTTGTATTTTATTAGAGACTGGGTCTCAGCAAGTTTCTTAGTGCCTTGCTTTTGCTGCAACTGGCTTTGAACTCATGCTTCTTCTGCTTCAGCCTCCTGAGTTGCTGGGAGTACAGGCATGTGCCACCTCTCCTGGCTTCATTGTAGTTTTTCTTGTATTTCTCTAATGACAAATTATGTTAAGCACCTTTCCATGTGCTTGTTGGCCATGTGTATATCCTCTTTAGGGAAATGTCTATTTAAGGTCTTTGCTCATTTTTAAAATGAGTTGTTGGTCTTTTTGTTCTTGAGTCATATGTGTTCTTTAAATAATCAAGATTCTAAATCCCTTTCAGATATATAATCTGAAAACCTGATTTGCAGATATTTCTTTCATTCTATAAGCTATATTTTCAATTTATAGTATCATTTGATGCACACAGATTTTGTTTCGATGTAGCCTGCTTTTAATTTATTTTAAAAATAAATATTATCTACATTTTGTACCCTAATTGAATTGGTTCCTGATAACTCATTCCCATATTTTGAAACAATGGACTGAGATGCCTTAGACATCTTACGTGTTTTTATTTTTTTAAAATCATTTTTCTTTCATTTCTTTTAATGGCAGATCACTCTGCTGTGTTTTCCTAATTATACTACCACCTAAGCACTGACATTTTACTTTTTCATTGTTTTATTTTTTTCATCTTCTTATTATATTAATGTAAAGAAGTTCCATATACTTTTTCACTTTTAATTATTTAAAAGTCACCTTATTACTGTTTTAAGTCTGTTATAAAGGATAATTTGTGGTGGGAAATTGTATAATCAGGGCAAGTTTAAAGAAGGCCTTGGACCTCCTTCCTCTCACCCATGATTGCTCTTCCTTTCCTCACTCTCAGGACTAAAGGTGATTTCTGAGTACTACAGAAAGGGAGACAGGGAAATGGAAGAAAAAGTTAGAAGACTTGGAGTTGCGTAGCCCACCTCCCATAACATAGTGTCCAAAGAATTTTCAACAATATATTACAAAGCATTGAATTCATGCCCAGTGTCTTTTAAATCTCCAGTTACCTTTTTAAATAAGTTAGGATGGTTAATTATTTGAGAAGGAGGAAGGCAGGGTGGAGCTCCAACAGAATGGAATGGAGCTGGCTTCCTGGCTTTGCTCCTTAGAACCAGTACATGCCCTGGCACACTTTATCTTAACCATTCTTGTCCTTAGTCTGGTCTCTCAGCTGTGGTGCTTCATAATGCACACAATAAAATAATCATTGTGAAGCTCTGCATGTGAAAAATACTCACCCAATGTTAATTCCACTTTATTATCTTATAGTTCTCATGGCAAAAGGGAAGATCAGCTTATAAGTGTGAGAACTGTTTCTGTTGAGGTCAACAATATTTATATTGGATTTCTGCAAGATTCAGCTATATAACTTTTGTAAATAAAATGTTTAGCTCTCTGCAAACTACAAGGAAGCTTAGGAAAACCTATTAAAAAACACTTTTATGTGGCACAGTCTAATAAAATTCCCTCATCTTCTCTAAGATGTTTTATCCGCTACTTCTTCCTTATTTTTAGACCAAAAAATCTAGAAGCTTTTCATTACTGTAAAACAGAATTAGGAACAAAATGCTCTTAGATGTCACATCAGTATATATGAGACAGGAAAAAAACAAGCAGAGAGGCAAAAGCTACCAAAGCAGAGGAATTAAAGATGGCTGGTGTCATAAAATATTAAAGCATGGTTTAATCAGCAGTGAGATATGTAAGCGAGCTTAATTAGAAATACATATTATTATTTGACTTTAAAGTACAAAATTAAAAATTAAAGCAATCTTACAGGATACATAATCAGCGAGGAATAATATGTTTGAAAATGAATCTGATGTTGTAATTGGTGTGTATAATTTAAAATTAATTAATTTTGGTTATCATACATGCAGGCAAATATGAAATCAACAAATTTTAAATATTAAAACTCATAATTATAGTGACACTGCTATGTTGCTATCAGGAAGCAAGAGATTTCTCTCTGACATGTAGTCACTTTCAACTCTAATGTGCTGTTTCTGATCAAATCAAGGAAGTATTCTGTCTACAGGATGTCTGAACAATCGTGATTATATGAAATGTACCCACTCCTAAATTTCTTTTAATTAAAATTCACAGTGATGTTTTTGCCTGTGTCAAATTTTCTTTCCTATCACATCTTAAATGAAAAAGGGACTTAATTTTAATTAACACATCATTGCAGGTAGTCTAATATTAATGTTCACTAAGCCCTTTATAAGATTCATTAACAGCCATTTTGTGCTGAAAGGACCCAGGAGGCAGATAGAAAGTGGGGAGGCTATTTTTAGTGATTTTGCTATTGATTTTACAAAATACTGAAGACAGAAGCACATTGCTTTAGGAGTCCATAGTTAAGTAGGCATGAAGTCTTGCCATTAAGTAAAAGACAGAGGGAAAGAAAAGAAAGAGGAATAAATGTGCATCTATTTCTACATATCTATATGTGCTTTTATATAGTCACATGGGTACATATATATATTCAGATAGGTATACATCAAAGCATAAATATATATATATATACACACACATGCACATATCTTCATTTATATGTGTATATGCATATCAATGAAAAAGGGACTTAATTTTAATTAACACATCATTGCAGGTACTCTAATATTAATGTATATACATATAAATGGAGAGAGAGAGAGAGAGAGAGAGAGAGAGAGAGAGAGAGAGAGAGAAACCATTTTCTTATTCAGGATTAATATTGGGTAGACTCCATACAGGTGAAGTAACAGAGTAGAAACAAAACCATGAAAATTGGAATAAAAATTAGATTTTATTGGGTTCACAGATCTGTATATAACATAAAGGATGATAAGCCCTTGGATTTGAAAACAGGTGGCTGCTACCCTGCATTATCCAACTTTCCCCAGCCACAACGTCTTTGCCTTTGACACATCCGTCTTTGGCTAGACCCACTGTTAATGACTTTTTTTTTTTTTAAGGTAACTTATGTACTCTGTTCCAGTGGTAAATTCTGGCACATGTAGAGGATGTCCCAAACTGCCCCCAGGTATTACGAAGGACTGAGAATCCATATTTGGAGGCAGAAGCCTATCTTCAAAGGTAAACTTATGTTCTGTCTTGTCAACTTCAACAACATCTTTTCTCACTGTAGCCTCTCCAAAAGTTACTGTAAAATGGAAGTAAGCAAAATGGAAGTGGCGGGAGGAAGTCAAGGAAAGATATAAAATGGTGGAGGCTTCTCAAACACCATTTTAATTTTTTGGTCCTCAAGAATACATTGACAGAGATCAAGAGATATCAACTGAGTACCACCCTTCATGGATACCAGTTCATATGGTAAAAATCAGCATCTTGCTCTGAGTCATTCATTGAACTTCTTCTGATCCATCATCTGGCTGTAACACTTAACATAAAATAAAAAGAACAAAAAGCAACTTTGTTCTATTGGACTTCCTCTTGCCATATATTTGCTGCTGGGCTCACACTTAACCCTTTTTGGTCCATTTGCATTTTGGACATGACTCTTCCCCATGTTTGTAGAAGGATATTATAGTTTCAGCATGTCAATTTGCTTCATGTAAATAATTTGTTCAGAAACTCTTGAGTCCTTGTAGTTTACTTCCAATTTCTCTAGTGTAGGAAAATATTTGGGCCACATGATATGGGAAGAAGAGGTAAAATGATAGTGTTTCTATTAGTTGATTGACATAAGCAAAGAGAGATCATTTTCTTGGAGATATCCTTTTTTTATGCCACTGTAATTTTCAGGCATTTCTAGAAAATAAAGCAGACCAAAAAGAGATAGATGGTAGTAATATTCAGTGCTCTCCAGAAAAACAGAACCAATGGACATATATGCAGTTCTAGACAACACCACAAGACATGAAAATTAAAAAAAGGCATGTGGATCAAAATGGGGTAAAAAAAATTGCCCTTTTTAGAGATGACATAATTGTCCTTGTAAAATATCCTAAAGAATATATAAAACATCCTCATAGAGCTGTAAGTGTATTCACTGAGTTCATACAACACAAGATTAAAATTCAAAAATTAGCTATATTTCTTTATGTGGTCATGTATTGATTAATGACAAAGATATATTCTGGAAAATGTACCCTTAGACAATTTCATCATGTGCAAACATCACAAAGTATATATAAACCTAGATGGTACAGGTCAATCCTCTGACAAGGCCTTCTGAGGCAATCAGGAGACCCAAAAACATGAGATGTATGAGGATGCTGCCAGAATAACATGGTGCATGGCTTAAGAGTGAACATTTTTTAAAAAAATAAGTAGTGACATTACACTTTAAAATAACAATGAATAGTACAGTAAATTCATAAACTTGTAGCACAATAGTTTACTATTTTCAGGTATTATGTTCTATATGCAACTACTGCTTTATTTTATGACTGGTAGTCACTAGTTTGGTTTACACCAGCAATACCATGACCACATGAATAATGGATTGTGCTGGGACATTATGATGCTGACATGGTCACTAGGCGATAGGAATTTTCCAGCTCTAGAGGACCACTGCTATGCATGTGATCTATCATTGACCAAAACATTATGTGAAAGCACATGAGTATACCAGCAATGAACTTGTGGGAACTAAAGTTAAACATGACATCACCTATGATCGCTTCAAAAATGATACTTCTAGGTGTAAATATAATAAAGCCTATACCTTACTTGTGAGGTGAAAACTTAAAAAATGCTGATTTAGTGTGGGGTGCAGTGGTGCATACCTGTAATCCCAGTGGCTCAGGAGGCCAAGGCAGGAGGATCGTGAGTTTAGCCTCAGCAATGGAGAGGCCCTAAGCAACTCCGTGAGACCCTGTCTCTAAATAAAATATAAAATAGGGCTGGGGATGTAGCTCGGTGTTAAGTGCCCCTCAGTTCAATCCCCAGTAACTTTTTCCCCACAAAAAAATGCTGATTTAAAAATAAGAATATAAATTAAAGAAGAGATGTTGTGTCCAAGGATTGGAAATATCAATCTGCTTAATATGTCAGTTCTCCCTAAATTAATACACAGATTTGACACAATTGCTATGACATCTCCTCATTATTTTATTCGCCATAGAGACAAGATAATTCTAAAATTTAAATGGATAAGCAAAGAAGGTAAAATAATAAAATTTCCCCCCAAAAAAGAATATATTAAGAGGAATACTGCTACCTGATTCCAAAATTTCTTATGGAGTTGGATCAAGCCATTGTGGTTGTAAAGTTAAGATGCTTTGATCAATGGAAAGGAATAGAGTACGCAGAAGTAGCTCCATGCTACATGGATATCTGGATAACTGTTGTTGTTGTTTTTGTTCAATAGCTTCATTGAAATAGAGTGCCATATTCAGCAACAGACCCATTAAATTATACACATAAATATGTAAAATCATCACCACAATCAATTTAAAAACATTTAAAATATTTAAAAAATAAACCTCATGCACTTTCCTATACCCCCACACACACATACACGCGCACGCATGTGCGCGCGTGCATACACACACACACACACACACACACACACACACACACACACACACATACAGACTCCCTACCCCTATCCCTCACTCCTAATCAGCCACTAATCTTCATGCTGTCTCTATAGATTTCTCGCATCTGGACACCTTGCATAAACAGAATGTGATCTTCTATGATTGGTTTCTTTCAATTAGTATAAGGCTTTCAAGGTCCATCCAACTTGTAGTATATATTTCATATTTTTTATGGTCAAATAATATTCCATTGTGTAGCTATACCATATTGTGTTTATAGTCATCAGTTGATGAAAACATGTGCTGTACAGTGAACTGATTTTCACCAAATACCCAGAAACAATCAAATGCTGGAAGGAGAGCTTCTTGGGTGAATGGTGTTGAAGCTCTTGGTTTGCTAGGGCTGAGATAACAAAATAACTTAGACTGGATAAGTTATAAATAATATAAATTTTATTTATTTATTTATTTATTTATTTATTGCAGTTCTGGAGGCTGAGGAGTTCATGAGCAAGTCCACCAACAGATTTCATGTTCCTTATATATTGTACTTTCTACATGTGCTCACATGCTGGAAGACAGACCAGCTCCCTTAGGCCTCTTTAATAAGGACATTTATACCATTCACCATGGCAGAGCCCTTGTGACCTAGTCATTCCTAGAAGACCCACCATGTAATATTATTGCCTTGGTAATTATGTTTCAATATATGAATTTTGAAGGGACATCTATATTCAGACCATGGCATGTATCTATAGCCAAAAGTAATGAATCTTTTTTACAAATCTCACAGTTGCTATAAAAATGAACTCAAATAGATTAATTTATAGATTTAAATATAAAATGTAAAAGTTTACAACTTGTAAAAGAAAACATAAAAGTCTCTAGGACATACAGCTTAGTGAAGCTTTCTTAAGATGCCCAAAGCATGATTCATAAAATAAAAATTTGGTATATTAGACTATATCAAAGTGAAATATTTTTTTTCTCTGAAAAAAGATTATTTAAGAAAATAAAGATAAAGTATACCTTGGGAGAAAATATTTATAAACCACATACCTAACGAAGTACTTATCTACAATATGTATAAAAGACTCAAAAGTTATCATTGAAAAGCAAATCATCCAATTAGAATACAGGCAAGAGACATGGATATTTCACTGAATCAGATATGTGGTTGGTAAATAAGTACATGAAAATAAGTTTAACTTTACCAGCCAATTCCTACGTTAGTTAATTATTTCCTACACAGCCATAAAATTATATATACACAATTTATTATAGCATACATGAACAACAATACTTACCACTTACCAAAATATTTCTAAAGCCATTGATATCATTTTTTTCTAAATACTTGTTTTTCTTATGGAGAAAATATTCAAAAGCAAAATTTCATGGTGATCGTGATTCAGTGTTGTCCCTTCTGTATCACGTTTTCTACCTCGTTGTCCCTATTCATTTTCTCAATTGCAATGAAAAATGTTAATTAACAAACCTAAAATCCATAAGGTAAAATGATATCTAGGTAGGAGAGCTGGCTTCTCCCTAGAAGTTGTGTAAAACCCCTAGCTCTGTTTTTGTTTGTTTAATTTTTTTGTTCATTCTTGAAGATTTCTTTCATTCAGGAATATTCTAATGGCAATATCTGTTCCTTCATTCTGATATCAGTACCATGAGCTAAGCAGGTCACTGTCCTTAAGGTTCACTTATGGCACCTATATCTGGGATTCCCCCAATCCATTGATGTTCCTGGACTTCCAGGGAGTGGTATTCTTCACCTCTTCACATGAACGTCCCCACCCACCTTCCTGAATAGACACACAGCTGGCAAAATGTACCTTGAAATGTGTTATTTTTGACATGATCATTGTTTATAAGTAAGATCCATAACATAGATATGTGACAATACCTTTTATATAACTTATGTATAATAAAAAAGTATAACTTTCAATGTTGTCTTTTGTACCAGTGAGAAAAACATAGTTTTTTTTTATCAGTTTTTGTTTAGTTTTCCTTCTTGATTATACAAATTAGCATAAATAATTAGGTTTGTAACTCATCTGAGATCAAATCAGTTGTGTCTAGGAAAATGAATAAATGTATTCCTCAAAAGACACTGGTGACCTTTGTTGGGCTTATTGGAAGTTCTGGCATAATATTAACTAGTAGCATAATTACCTTTTTGTTTACTTCCAATATACCCTGAACACTATCCCTAAACAGTATAATTTTGCATGTTTTTGACATTTATGTAAAAGGCCCTTCCTGCTTGTTATCAGTTGCCTTGATCTTCTGTGCAATACTACATTTATGTCATTCACATCACTATTCAAGATTTAATATTCTTTTTTTTATTGCATTTGATTGCTGTATTCTATTCCAATTTACACATACTACATATTTTCCATTGTATGAATGGACAAGCTCAGAATCTTTTTTTTGTTAATTAATTCATTTTAATCAGGTATATATGACAGCAGAATGCATTTTGATTCATTGCACATAATTGCAGCACAACTTTTCATTTCTCTGGTTGTACACGATGTAGCATCGCACCATATGTGCAATCATACATGTTCCTAGGGTAATGATATCCATCTCATTCCACTATCTTTTCTGCTCCCATTCCCCCTCCCCATTCCTCTCTCCCCTTTGCCCAATGTTTCTCCATTTTTCTCATGCCCCCCCCACCATTATGAATCAGCATCCACTAAAATTATGGAATGCTTCTCAAATTTGCATGTCATCATTGCCCAGGGGCCATGCTAATCTTCTCTGTATCATTACAATTTTAGTATATGTGTTGCCAAGCCAAGCACCAGATCTTTTTTTCAAGCACATTCTTATATACCCATTTACTAGTTATGCATTGCCACATGGCCACTTTCATTATATTCTATTCTTAGTTATAAGCAAGTAACTCAGTTAGTTTACATATAAGGGTAGCACAGGAATAACACGAGATGGCACTTGTTAGAGGCAGTCCAGCACAACATGTTATACCTATCTTTCAAAAAAAAATGGAATCTCACTTTACAAATTCTTTCTGCAAGATTTAATATTTAATGCCTGAATAATAGGAGTTCTACACTAGGAACTTTGCTTAGCATGAAAAACAACCTCTAATCCTCTTAACTATGCTGCAAGTATTATTATCCTCCTTTTACAACTTAAGGAAGTGGGACTCAGCGGGGTTAAATAATTTGCCTATGGAAATGCCAGTATGTGGGAGAAAACATACTGCAACCTTCAAAACTAATGTTATCAGCATGCTGTTTAAATATAATAATGGGAAGCACTGATTATAATGGAAAATAAATATTGCCATCGCTTATCTTAATCAGGATGGTCCCTCTTTATCTCCACCAAATGTAAAATGCAGTCAAATGACTTTCCTCTAGACTTTATGCTAGATGTATTCACGAGGGTAAAAAAAAAATGAGAGTGCAACTCTACTTCATATTGCCATATATGAGTAATTCTATGACCTTTTGATTCTTAGAAATATCAGCCTAGAACCTATAACTCAATAATATGTAGCTGCTCTGAGCCAAGGTTACTGTGATTATATAATTTACTGCAAAGAGCAATACCACTAGTTCTTTGTTGCATTGGGCCAATCTTGGAGCAGACAATATTGGCAATAAATCTTATCAAACATTTGGACAGAAAAGTAAATGATATCTCATATTTTTACAGTTAGAATCAAGAGACTACCTTCTTTCACTGTTTATTTTTGTTTCTTAAGTTGTAGGTTTTCTTCTTATAAAGGCTAGAATATGGAAGAACTTGTTATTGGCCAACTTATTCCATTGCTGACTCAAGGCCACTAAAGATTGGAGAGATATCTCATGATGTATAAATCTATGTATTTTGGAGAATGTTTTTCCAGCTCCCCACATCTCTTCCTTGAAAAATTTTAATAACCTCCTAGCTTTGTACTCTCTGTTTTTGCTTTTATTCTTCCAATTATTTATTTACTTACTTCATGAATATTTATCAATTTTACAGGTGCTTTTTTCCAAAAATCTTTTTAAAATGCATATTTGATCATGCCACTTCTCTGCATGATTCTTCATCATCTTCAGGACACAACCCAAAGACTAGAACAGAAGGCTTCAGACCTAACTGTCTACACACCTCCAACTGTGAACACATAATCAGGGCATTACAAACAACTTGTCTACCTCAATGACTCTACTCCGTTTTATTTCTCTATTTATTTATTTATTTATATATTTTTAACCTTGTCACACACAACTTTTGTTGTATTTTAAAGCCTAGGTAAAACCTTCCTTCCTTTCTTTTTCATCTTATTCCCATAGCATTTTTGTATACAACTCTATCAGCACTTCTTAATTGTTCCTTTTTAATTCCTTTAAATAGATAGCCATGAATAAATTTCCACCACAGGATATTTTTAAATAACAATTGTAAGCTGGAGTGATCACTAGGTAACTTACAGAGGCACACATTAATAATATTGAAGTTCTAAGGGTCTTCATGTAAATCACCTGGGCTATCACACAATCTTTCTTGCACCTACTGTGGAGCAAAAATACAGTTTCCCTTTACCAAATGGGACACTTCACCTCATCCTTCTTCTGTGTTTGACAGCTCAATAAGAAAAAGACACGTGTGTCAAATTAATGCTCTCAGATATCCATTTCTAGGGGCCATGAATATGTCCTCCAAAGAAAATTTTCCTCTCTTAGGAACTAGGAATGCTAAAGCTAAGTTCATGGTTTGGGGAACAAGATGCAAAAATTACTTCATAGGTGAGTTTGGGCCCCTTTTATATCCATTCCAACATATTGATCCATGTATTCTTATCCAGAGAGTGCCATCATACATTTATCACTATTTTCAGACTTTTAAATACTCCAATCTTTATGGCATATTTTCCAGAACTCCTTCTGCTGTAGGCCGCCATTCCATCATTATTGGAAGCCAAATCTCTTCAGATGATTGGATACATAGTAGTTCGGGGAATACCAAAAGTGTGGGGTCTATTGCCCACTTTCCTTGTAAAATGATACTTTTCACTGTTGTAAAATGGTAGTGGGCAGTGTTGAGTGTCATCGAATGGCAAAGAATAAATCACTCTGTCAGTCGAAGTTGAGACTAATGGTAGAATTGTGCGCAAGGAAGACAAATTTGCATTCTGAACAGACTCTATTTCTGTAAGGACAGACTGCTCTTCTTCCATGATGGAAGAGGTCCAAAATAATCAAACTATCACTAGGTGGCTGTCTGATCCTCCCTCCACCCTCAATCCTGGGAATGATGCTGTATCTGTGTTTGGATTTGACCTCTGCTATTGGCAATTTGGGAACTCAGCAGGTACAGCCGTCACATCAGCTATGGTGTGCAGGGTTTCATGTTGTTAAATTTACATGGATCCTTCAGAGCTGCCAAAATAGCTATGTTTTTTTTGTGAGTTCATTAATCAAACACTGGATAACTGAAAAAATGAATCTCACCAATGACCCCAGGATAAGTCCTCTTATCCACATGGTTACTGACAATCTGAGTCATAGTAAATTCTATAAGCACTTTCGTGGGACACAAATATATTCTCATTCTATTTCCATTCTAAGAAACATTCACAGTATTCATCTCTAGAATTCCCAGTTACTGATTTTTCAAATTTATTAAGTGACTATGGAGACTCAAATCAGGTTTATCTCCCCTGACCTAGGATTTATCTGATTATATAGTTCAAGAAACACTGTCTGAATTTTTTACTGTGGATACTGTGAAAGATTAGTTACTAGTCACTATCTCATAGTCCTGGAAGTCAAAACCAATCTGTCCTTGTAAATTTTTGCTGTACTTATACCCACCTGGTCAAGAATGATTAGGTTTTACTAAGTGGCATCTGCTACTCCAGGATCATACTATTCGCACTAAGATATGGAGCCCAAAATCATAATGGTGAAAGGAGCCCCAATAGCCCTTTGTAACCAGACTAATAAGACAACCAACTACCATAGATGTTTATATGGACTCTGGTTTTCCCTTCATGAAAGTTTTTGTTTTTGTTTTAATTTGGTACCAGAGAGTAAACTCAGGGGCACTTGAACACTGAGCCACATCCTCAGTCTTATTTTGTGTTTTATTTAGACACAGTGTGTCACTGAGTTGCTTAGGATCTTGCTTTTACTGAGGCTTTGAACTTTTGATCCTCCTGCCTCAACCCCCTGAGCTGCTGGGATTACAGACATTCACCATTGCACCCTGCTAGGAAAGCATTTTAATGTGAAGAGAGTTTTCTCTAAGCCCCCTTGATGAACAAGTCTATTCCCACATTACTTTATCCCTGAGTCTTCAAATTTTTCCCCTATTTTATTCCAGAGAAGTTCTGGAATCTCAGTCTTGTTGAACACAATTTACCAATGAACTAGAGCCTCAATGTACTAAGAAAAATGTTATATCCCCTTTCAGGTCATGAATACCTGCTCCAATGCCCTTAGAATTTCATTTCCACCAATGTTTCCCAAATTCTTCCTGGATAAGTATATAATTATCCCTATGGTTCACATAAGTATTTAAGTCATCTTATAGTACAGGAGGTAATGGAGTATGGTACATTTGGGAGCAGAGGTAAAATAACATCCCCTTGTAAAATAACAACATCCCCTGTATTCAGTACACCATTGAAAAGTCTTTATGCAATATCCAGTTAGTTTCCTCGTACAGTGTGGAGAAACTACTCTGACAAAGGAGTTTCAGAAGGATGTGCAGTTCACGGTTCTGAACTTCATCTCTGTTGAAATTTTCCCATCCTTAATATGAGAGTGCCCACTCATTCCTAACTAATACCTTAACTTTCCCGTAAGACCCTTAGCAAAAGCAAGCAAGGGACATGTATTGTGGGAGGGAAGGAGAGAGAGAGAGAGAGAAGGGGAGAAAGAAAAGAAATTTTGAATTTCAATGGATGAAAATGCACAATATATTACTGTCACCTTAATTGTTCCATAAGAAAGGTCAGAATGGTCATTTGAATTATAATAAAAAATAAAGATGGAAAAGATAGTCTTGTGAAAAGCAGCAGGCAGAGTCATAAGTGATTTGTGTTATTAGAATAATGGTTATTTTGTAAGTTAGAGATTAATTTTATGTATTTTATGTCCCTTTTCTGTTTTTATTCCCAAGACAGATCTTTTTGCTGGTTATGAATATGAATTTGTATTTTGTATCTATGTTACAAACAATCTTCACATCTGTCATATGTCAAAATCTTCTGATAATTTCTCAAATTCATATAGTATGTGTGAATTCTATTCTGTCACCATTTCAGTTACTTGTGGATTTTGCAGTTTGAAATACTTTTTTCTCACCAAGTTACAAGCATATTATCCCCCTAATATTTTAATACTATCATGTGTATTCATATGATGTTGCTTTTACTTGTACCAGCTCTTTATGTCTATCTACTGTTCTATCATCTACCCATTTTAATTATTTTATTGTTGTTACTTACTTAAAGGAGTAATCAGACTCCATGCCAATGCCACTTAGTGAATTCTCCACAATTGCAACAATATTTGAAGTTCTATTTATATTATAAACTAAATTTTCATAATCCGAGTCTAATTCTGAACCTCATTTGGTTCTACTGAACTAATTTTCATAGACTCTTTCAATTATTATGCCGGTGAAGTATGTCTTTAAACCTTAAAGGTGTACCTGTTATTACTATTTTTTTCACATTCAAGGTCTATATAAAGTAGATAAAATAGCCTAGGATGTTGTTGGGTCTTTGGATGAAACTGAATTAGATATTCAAATTTAATTGGTGATAATTGATATATCT